AGTCACAGAGAAGGAAGTAAAGGAAGGTATACAGAAATAAAGATAAAAGCCCAGAGGAAAAAGATAGATGGGGTAATTTAAGTTAAGAAAAGCTGGCTAGAAATAAGCCAAGCTAAGGCTGGGCATTCATAAGAAAGAATAAGTCTCTGTGTGTGATTATTTTGGAGCTGGGTGGTGGGCCCCCCAAAAAGTAAAAAAACAACAACTACACTTATCTCCATTAAGACTTTCCTGTGATGGTTACCTGAGGAAACTCTAGTACCCTGTGGTTATTTGGGTGAGGAGGGTTCAGGGGCAAGTGGGCTGTCAGGAATGTCCTGGTTCCAGCACGCAGGCCAAGCTGTCACAACAATGGTAAGATCTTCAGGTTGCTTACCAAGGATCCTCTGACTGTTGCCAGAACCACCGTCCTTTCTTGAGCTCTACTCAGCACACACCCAGTACACATGACTTCCGAGTCCCCAGAACATACCCGACACCCACTCGTGAGGTTTTCTGTCCAGTGTGAGGGCTCATCGTGGGTAGGCAGTCTGAAGGTAAATATGAGCTCACACCAGCAGGGGAAGGGGACGAACCTAAGAACACGCAAGAGAATTTGCTGCACGTGGACATGGGAAGGGTGAAAGCCTGGGCTGTGCTCTATTTTTGATGATGCCTATGTGGGAATGAGTGAGTGAGTTGCCACCCCAAAGGCACGGTGAAGGGAAAGCATCAGGATACAAGGAGATTGGGCTGAGAGAACAGGAGGTTGACTGGAGAGTTCTGTGATGCAGAGAGAACAAAGGCTCCTGGTGGCCAGCAGAGGACAAGCTACACTTTGCAGAAGCCCTAGGTTTATTACCTTGAAGCAAATTCAAGCACAGAGAACTCCATGACTTGCCGATAAGTGGCATCAATGACACCAAGACTCCTCCTTAACTGCAGTGTTTTAGCATATTATGGGTTGGATTCTGTTTCCCCGTTATGCACTTCAGAATATGACTCAATTTGGATACAGGGTCCTAGAAGACTTTACCAAGGTAGATGAGGCCATGAAGGTGGGCTCTAATTGAATTGGAATGTCTGTTTGCAAGAAGGACACAGGGACACCTGCAGGAGAAAGCATGTGGGTACATGCAGGAGAAGACACATGGGTACATGCAGGAGAAGACACGTGGGTACATGCAGGAGAAGACACGTGGGTACATGCAGGAGAAGACACGTGGGTACATGCAGGAGAAGACATGTGGGTACATGCAGGAGAAGACACGTGGGTACATGCAGGAGAAGACACGTGGGTACATGCAGGAGAAGACATGTGGGTACATGCAGGAGAAGACACGTGGGTACATGCAGGAGAAGACACATTGGTACATGCAGGAGAAGACATGTGGGTACATGCAGGAGAAGACACGTGGGTACATGCAGGAGAAGACATGTGGGTAGATGCAGGAGAAAACATGTGAGTACATGCAGGAGAAGAGGAGGTGGTATGGTTGACATACATGTGAAGGCAAGACCCTGTGAGTGTGGACACACATGTATGGAAGACCATGTGAGTGTGAACACACATGTGTGGAGAGAAGACCATGTGAGTGTGGACACACATGTATGGAGAGAAGACCATGTGGGTGTGGACACACATGTATGGAAGACCATGTAAGTATGGACACACATGTATGGAAAGAAGACCATGTGGGTATGGACACATATATGGAAGACCATGTGAGTGTGAACACACATGTGTGTAGAGAAGACCATGAGGATGTGGACACACATGAATGAAAGGAAGACCATGTGGGTGCCTATGTATTGAGGGAAGACCATGAGCAAGTGTGAATAGTAGGCCATATTAGTGCATACATGGGGAGAGAAGACTTTGCTGGCACATACTTGTGGAGGGAAGACCATATAAAGCGATAGGGAAAAGGCCATGTGGATACAGTGGAGGTTGGCAGGATGTGGCGATAAACCCAGGGTCCCAGGAGCCATAAGGAGTATAGAAGCATAAACAGCCATTCTTGGAGTCTTTAATTGGCATGTTATTCTGCCTATATCTTGGCCTTGGATTTCAGGCCCACAGACTCTGTGGCAATATGTTTAAATGTTCTAAGCCACCCATAAGTGGCACCTGTCACATCCGCTTCGAGAGACTGATGATTTATTCAGTAGAATTTTCCCAGAGCACATGGACTTCAAACAGATGAACTGTTATGTTCCCTACTTCAGAGGCCAGAGGTGATGGGAGGGTCAGAGGTCGGAGGATCACTGAGTCCCTAAAGGTGTCAATGGGGGTACAGAGGAAAGCATGTGTTCTGGGTATCTAGGGACAGGCAGAGGCTACAGTCACCTGGGACTGGAGAGAGGAGGATGAGGTAAGACTGCCCAGAGCTACTGCCTGGGTGACCAGAGCCCTGTGTCTTCTCTGGGCATCACCTCCCCAAAGAAAAGATGTGTTCGGTGTCTGTACTGTTAAACATCAGGCCATGGCTAGTGTAGGCTGGAGTATGTGAAATGCAGCCAGAGTCACCAGACACATGAATTCTTAATTTCCTTCAGCTAATATTGCAGAAGTATCAGTTTCCCTGTGGGGTTATGTTTTTGTCTTTGACCTAAGAAGGCACCTAGAGAGCAAGCAGGATTCAGACAACTGAGACTTTGGAGTTCTTATTTAGGAAGCGGATCTCCTGCTTGGAAGAATCTGTACCTACAATCATGGTTATCAACAGTGGTCTCCTCAGAAATGTGGAATGATGGACACTCTGAGACCTTGGGTGGTACTAATGGGGACTCTTGGGGTCTTTGAATTTGTTGGTCCCTCTCTCCTGACTCTGGAGAGCAGAAGCACAATGTCTCCAATTATCTTCAGCAGTTAAATGCTCTCAAAGAATAGGCAGGTTTGAACTTTTAAAGTGCCTTTGGGCAGGCAAGATAATTTCATTCTCCTTTGCTGCCTTCTGTAAATCCTTCAGAGAGAAGGAAATAAACCCATTACGGTCCTGCCTGGCTGTTCCCTTAAGCTGGCTGCGAGGAAGTGATGTGTGCCTGGCATTTGAGAGCCTGAGGCTGTATCCAAGATTTAGTGCAGGTGTCTTACCCAGGACCACGGCTGGGAGGAGACTGTCAAGATTAGATATGGGCGCCATTTTTGAACACAAATCGTCTGCCGTTGGGAAAGTCAAGGTGAATTCTACCGTAGACTGTTTATGACTTCTTCTGGCTCCTTATATTTTCCTGTTTGGGATCCAATGAAAGCTACTTGACATGTTCCAAAAAAGAAAAAAAAAAAGATTTGAGGTTGTGGCAGGGAGTGTTGCTTCAAAGGGATCATAAGTGAGATTCCTGGAGTGTGCCAGTGGCTTTTAGGGGTAGCAGCAGCTTGGGGGAGCACTTGGGGGATGCAGGATGCTTTAGTATGAAGTCACCAGTGCTCCAGAACTGGGGGCCTGTAGCTGGAGTTTCCTCTCTGGGTTCCGCCAAGCCCCGGCAGTCCGACAGCCCACTTATAAAATAAACACACAGATGCTTATATTATTTACCAACTGTATGGCTGCAGCAAACTTCTTGTTATCTAGTTCTTCTATCTGAAATTAACCCATTTCTATAAATCTATACCTTGCCACGTGGCTCGTGGCTTACCGGTACCTTACATCTCCCTTGTCATGGTGGCAGCTGACAGTGTCTCTCTGCCTCAGCCTTCCTCTTCCCAGAATTCTCTTGTCTGCTTGTCCTGCCTATACTTCCTGCCTGGCTACTGGCCAATCAGTGTTTTATTTATTAACCAATCAGAGCAACACATTTGACATACAGAACATCCCACAGCAGGTGCCCACGTGGCGACCCAGAGAGCTTGACTCAGAGTGGCTGCCCCTGGGAAGGGTTGATCAGTCTCTAAGGTCACATGTCACACGAATGTCAGAATATGTTTTTGAATTCTCATTCCACGTTTTATATAGCATTTGCTAGATACAGATTTGCTTATTGCTTTATTTGTTTTGATTTTTTTTGTTGTTGTTATCAGATTTTACCCAGAGTCAAAAAATTGTCCACGCTGTTATGTGCAGCCAATTATATTAGGATAAAAAGCATTCTTTACTGCATGCAAGGTATTCTGAGGAAGTGGAGGAAGTCAGGTTGGCTAAGGCAGAGAAAAATTCATCTAAGTCCCCAGAAGTGGATGTCAGGCTCCTGGTGTGTTCCTGGGACACCTCTGCCCCTTGTATGGAACTCATTGCTCTGAGGCAACACAAGCCTTCCTGGCTGATGGACAGCTCTGGACAGCTGCCACTGCTGGCTGAGGGCCCACCGTGGAGGTCTTGTGGAGCATGTGAGAGGTCGGCTTTTCTCTGAGTGGCTTAGGAAGCAGGAACGTACGTGTCCTGTTGAGAATCCCCACTGTGGATTTTTTTTTTCCAGCCCATGCTTTGCAGAAGCTTTGCGTTGTAGAATTTTCTTGACAAAACAGGTTTCTGTTGTCTTCACCCTCCAATCCAAGGAGACACTTCCTTCACCTTTTGCTACCGAGGTTAGAGTCTAAACACAGCTTTTGTTTTCTATTTCCTCACAAATATTCTGGATGAGGGACGAGAGCCGCTGAGCTTAGGTCCTCAACGAAGACCCGGCACAGTGTCCCAGCAAAGCTCCATTGTCAGGCTATAATTGCACCTAATATTTTAAAAGCCACCGGGAAAATTGGTGTGCCCATTTCCCCGCACACAGCAGTCCCTCCAGAGCCATGTCCCAGATCTCTTAGGGCCCATTAGGGTGTACATTACCCAGTGGCAGCCACATCCCAGGAGAACCATATACAATCAACACACTTACTTGATTAACCTGTTGGATGAAAAATGTATGTTATCAGCATTTTCCGTAAGGGTTGATTATTGAGACCATCTTGGGTGCAATGACTTTGTGCAACACTGAATGATCTTATTAGAAAACCTCTCACAGCAGTTAATGAGATGCTTTCACCTCTGCCTGAATAACAACCAAGTGCATTTTATTTATTTGTTTTGGAACAGGTTCTGCCCGGCATCCTGCAGAAGCATTGCTGCATCTTACCAGACAGGAACACAGGTATGATCTACCTCCTCCTGGAAAGAGGCCATAGGTTCTGTGTCAGGGACACAAAGAAGCTCGGTGCTTCAGGTAGATGTTGTGTGGGCTTTTTGCAGTTGACGTTCGTGTGTATACTTGATTGTTTGAAAGTTGGGATACTCAGTTCTGTGTCGAGTTACAAGCTGAGTTCAGGTTGCTGTTTTTATTGGCCAAAGAAGTGGATTCAGATGTTTATAATCTTGGATTTTTATGGGAAGTTGGCTGGTTGGTTGTTTTATTTAAATCAAGTTGAATATATCATCTCCAAAGCTGTTTTGTTTCGTTATTATACTTATTTACTAGAAACAGCACTATTTTTTTTTTTTTTTTGGCTAATATGGGGTGTTTGATGTCCATTGGTCATCAGGGTGGAGTTAGCCATATGCATGTTCTCTGGGATTTGCGTGAGTCGGGCAGAGTAGGGATACTGCAGTGGGCACTTGTGTTGTTCTGCAGCTTTGCATCCTGGGTGGATGGTGTGGGCCGAGCGTAAGTGCTCTGCATTGCTTTTAAGAAAATGGGATGGGGAGAAAGAGGTCTAAGAGCCATTTTGGAACTTGGTTGTTTTAACATTAAAAATGAGAATGTAAGGTGTGCTGTCTTGTGGATCTGTGTTTTGATTATTCCATGTAGATAGCCTCTCACTGAAGTTACTTTCATCAAAATGAAAGTCTCAAAATGCGAGGAGCAGACAGTGGATATGGCTGCTACCTCCAAAGAGCTTTGCACAGCTTGTACGTCCTTAAAATCCATTGTGTCTCTGCAAATACAAGTGCATGTTCTGGGATATATTTGGTTTTTTGAGACAGGGTTTCTTTGTAGAACAGCCTTGGCTGTTCTGGAACTCGCTCAGTAGACCAGGCTGGCCTTGCACTCAGAGGTCCACCACATCTGCCTCCCAAGTGCTGGGATTAAAGGTGTGCACCACCATGCCTGGCTCGTTCCAGGATATTTTTGTTGGGTATGAAACAGAAGTTTTCAGATAGTGTGTTTGTCTTCTATGATGATACACAAGGGCTTGCTCTGGTGAAATTTCCACTGCCACATTATGCATATAAATAGGCATGGTCACTGAGGGTCCTGTTGATGTTACATAGTCAATGTAAACACAAAGGTTTGGGGAAAACAAATTTTCCTTTTTTAAAATGAAGAAATGTGGATCTATTGTGTTACTGATGTCATCCTTTTCCAAAGAGTTTGTTTCTTGCCACTGAGACAGATTTGTATCTTATTTACTATATTTATAGAGAAACATACTTACAACACAGTTGGATGTTTTGTAAGCCTGTGTTTTCTGGCAGGCTTGGTTAGTAGTGAAGATGCAGGGCACGTCTTGTGAAGAAGCACAGTGTTAGGTGTGAGGAGGACCAGGGGCCAAGTCGCTTGTGCTGTCCTGCCAGCATCATCAAGGCAATGAAGACGAGCTAAGCTCTGGTACATGAAGATCTCAGTGGATTTTTAGGACTGAGATGAGTTTCAGGTATTTGGAGACACTTTGCTGTGTGCAGAGCTTCAAGTGAGTTTGGAAGATGTTGCCATCTCAAGATACTTTATTTATTTATTATTAATTTGGTTTTCCGAGACAGGGTTTTCAAGATGCTTTATTTTCGTTTCCTAAGAATGCTGCTTATTGGCTCCTAGACCCAGGAATGCTGCCTACACTGAGCTCAGTGTTTCTGGATTAAACATGGCTGGTTTTGAAATAACATACATCACGGCTTTGGCCTAATTCGATTGCCTGTGTTAATTTTGGTGAATGAGTTAAAAAGGGAGATTTATTCTTTTGTTGACCTCTTTTCTCTTTACTACCTCACTTGGATTTCGTTCACAAAAGAACTGAGGCACAAGTTGCGCGGTTGTTTGCCTTTGTTGTTTTGTGAAGGAAAACCACGGGCGTGAGGCTTTTCGAGGCACAAAGGTGGATGCTGCATATCGTCGCCAGAACACGCTGAAGCTGAGGTGTGGCGTGGTGGTAGAGTTCCCAGTGTGTTTGTGGCCCTGGCTTTAATTAAGTTTTTACTTTCAGACACTTTTCCCCTTTTCCAATTCCAGTGATTTTTAGTAATGAAACCTTTATTTTGCCTTTAGGTTGAGACCTGTGTACCTTGTAAACCCAGCCAAACAGCTGTGTGCACTGGACCATGGCAGCTGACCTAAGTGGTCAGAGCCTAACAGCTGTGTGCACTGGACTATGGCAGCTGGACCATGGCAGCTGACCCAGGTGGTCAGAGCCAAACAGCTGTGTGCACTGGACTATGGCAGCTGACCCAGGTGGCCAGAGACATCTGTTGATAACTAGGATTCCAGTTGATGCCTCTGACTTGAATCTAGCCACCTTTTGTTAGAATTTGCTGCCAAAATAGTACAGTTGGGTCTCTCCCTTGAAACTCATTGTTGGTAAAAGGATTACTAACTGGAAGCATCCGTGGCCACAACTTCTGGGGGACCACCTTTGTTCCCTTCAGGACTGGTTCCTATGTACCTATATTCAAGCTGGCGGGTCTTAGGCGAGTGCAGACCTACAGGGCATGCTGACTCCTGGGCGAATTTATAAACTTTTCTGAACAGCAGCTTCCTCACATACATTATTTGATTATAGCTGACGATTCCCAAGATAAAAGTTAACCTGTCTTTACAGTTTCATAGGCAGCCTGGTCTCAGCACTCTAAGCCATGGTTGTCTCTTGTCTCTTTTGAACACTTCATGCCCTTAACTTTTGGGGCATGGGAACTTTGATTCCTGATGGAAAATGTAGCACACAGTAAAAACTACTTGGTTGTCAGCGGTTTGTTTCAGTGTGGTCACATGCTTTAGAGAAGTCTAGGGCACCTCTCACTTGTGCCCACCAGAAGACAACAGCCTGTTCTGCCACCAAGAATGAAGACATTTTGGGGACAGATTCATCTTGTAAAACGGCAAAAACATTCATTCCCCACAGGCCTTGACAATAACGGAGTGACAGGCCCCTCACAGACTACACGCGCAGGGAGATCCAATAGGCTTTGGGCTCTATTTCATTCCAAAGTCACAGAAAGGTGACTGTGAAATATGTTCCCGTAGAAGCTGAACAGAAAGAGTTTTATGATCTTCTTCACGTGTGTGTGGCCGTGATTCTTGCTCCTTTGCCAGTTCATAGTGGCATTCCTGACACACCTGAGCATTCCTGTCTCTGAGGTTGCCTGATGGCGGGTGAGATGAGGTCAACCAGCTTTCCTCAGCAGGGTGATGCTGGGGAGGGGAGAAGCCTAGTCCCTAGTGTTTGCCAGTCTCTGTGTTGCAAATTCTCCTACCATGGCCAGTTCCCAGCTCTCCTATAAAGGTCCTGGGAAGAGACTGGGAGGTGCCCATACTCTGATCAGTCCTCTGGGCAGGTGGAGGCTCTGGTCTTTGGTACGTGGTACTGACTGTGGTTAAACATGGTCTCTATGTGGTGCAAATTGCTTAGTGTATTTGGGCTGAATGGAATCTTGGATTAAAATCTAGTGTCTGAAACAGGATCCCTAATTTTACAATATCCACATAGGTTGAGCACATAGGTTTTTTTTTAATGTGTGTGTGTGTGTGTGTGTGTGTGTGTGTGTGTGTGTGTGTGTGTATCATGCATATATAGTATATGCATTATATATATATATAATGCATATATAGTATATGCATCACTCCATAGGACTTTAGAGGCCTACAGGGCAGTCAGCTTAAATTATGCATCATCAAACCATCCAAGGAATAGGAGGGCTGTTGAAATTAGAGTTACTGCTAGTGAACTTGCATATTTAGTTCAGGAAACAAGAGGGGACAGACATCTTTGTTGAAATGGCAGGAAAGGGTGGTAATTTTACATCTCTTGGTTTTCTCGTGAGTCTAAGGTTTTCAACAGCGTGTAATTTCACAGTAAAGAAATAAGGGGAAACCAATGAGTCAGTGTGTTCTTTTTTCCACAGCTTGGAACATGACTTGAAGTGACTGGCGGTAGGCACAATGCACCTGGCTCATACAGATGTGGTAGTGATGCTGTTTCCTGGTGTTTTAATGGATACCCTGCATGGTGGTCTTGCAGGACTTCTGGTTTAGGGTTTTCACATTAGCTTTGGCTATTGCCTGTGTAGGAAAGACACCACCCTCTTCCGAAGATCAGGACGCAGACCTCAGTTCCTGTCTTTCTCCTCCACATAGCTGCTGAACATTTTGCTGCAGCTCAGGCAGCATCTTACTCTGGGTTGGTCTGTGATGCTACAGGATCCTCAGGAAATCCTTGCTAACCAAGTACAGGGCAAAATGATGTGGATGAGGAAGAGTGTTGCTGGTGTGGGAGAAGAGGGGCCGAGGGTGACTGGTGAAGCTCCTGGGACAAGTGCAGCAAGTACCGTGCGTGGAAGGGTCCTGGAAGGGTGCACAATGGACAGAGTGGACACACAAGGACACAAAGTGCCAAGTGATGCCATTTTAATGTTACGGGTTGAAGGTTTATCCTTTGAAAGGCCAAATGCTTCAAGTGAGCTTTTTCTCCCCCAGTTACTGCAATTATTTATACTACCTTTTCCTTTTCAAAAAAGGAATTGAGGTTGTACAAAGAGAATGCCATATGATATGATTCATAAACTAAGAATAACGAGCTCTGAGCTAAATGGAGAAAGTAAACGCTGTAAGCTGTGGAGATTCGCCTTCTCTTGTCTCCTAGCACTCTGTGCCGTCGTTGAGTGAACAGAACACCCATGTTCTGCTCTTCCTCCCTTTGTCCACCAGCCAAAGACAGAAGAAAACCCTCTCATGCATCAAAGGCCTTAATTTCATAAACTGCCAATGACTCTATCAGAAAATTGCTTGTGCTACAAAATTACTGCCAGAATGTAAGGCTATAGGTCAATAGTTTAGGACAAAAGTTGCTTTATTCAATGTGGCTTTTTGCCACCTATAGGGTTTCATTGTATATTATATGGTGGTTTTCCATTAAAGTGGAGAACTGTGTACCTCAGTAGAAATGC